CGGTACAACTTGTTTTCTATAATTTTCTTAACATTGATTTGAACCAATAAACGTATTATATGATTCTATAGAAATGGGTGTCCTAAATATTGTACAAAGTTGTGGGGCCCAGTGCCTTTTTCTTTTGTAAGGTAAACACGTGTCGGCTGGAGTCATTTTCGGTTGGCATAACTTAGAGCATAATGGTGATACTATTAAAGATTCTTAAAATAGATCCAAGGGTGAGACTCAATTAGTTCCATAATTCATCAACTTATATAACCATTTCCTCCCAAAACCAATATATGCATTCAAGATAAAACAATCTTATNAGTGTCTAAATGAGAAACAACCAAATGATATCACTAAATCGAGAAACAAACACAAACAGAGAGTGAACCAAAGAGCACTCTCAACAACTACACAAACATGTGTTTAACTCTTGTTTCAACAAATTCTATATATACGGTTTATAGAAGCACATTCATGGTTCTCTCGTAGAAGAGAGAAGTTCTCTTTGTATTTGATCTTGTATGCAAGAAGAAAGCATATAGTCTCTACACTCTGCTTCCCACGATCTACATAATCCCCAAGAAACAAATAGTTCCCAGCCGGCAGGTAATCACCGTACTCAAACAATCTCAAAAGATCTGAGAATTGACCATGAGTATCTCCTATCAAAACATNAAAACAACCACCATGAAATAAAACATCACTACTCAGGAAACACATCTGCAACTTTATGAAACAACTATATGATCATTTCTAATATCTCATTGATGATAACTAATCAACTAAACCAATACTTCCATCAAAACAACAGATTCATATGCATTTCTATAAATCTCAAGAGCTCAACTTAGCTATCAAAACACAGGAGTTGACCAGTTTCATATGCATTTCTCTAAATCTGATTAACTATCAATCTCCATTCAATGAAAGTAATGAAACTCACAGTAAGGAAATAGGCCGTACCAAATCTTGCACCTTCACTCGGATCACGAATCATCATCAATTCACCAACTTTCTTACCAAAACCTGAATCTAATCACAATAACAACAACAAACACAAACAGAGTTCTTAAATGACCCATCACCAAATTCAAATCCTTTAAACCTCATTACCCAATACAACACTCAGAATCATACGCATGAAGATATCTAAGAAAAGAAACCCATAAACTATCTTTGTCCCAAACTC